GAAGGAGCGATCGGCTTAGTGAGCTTAGTGCTTGGAAAAAATCTTTCATTCCTTTAGAGACAGCATGAAAAGTCAGCTGAGTACAAAACATAGAGAGGAAAACAAGAAGAAAAGGGACAAGAAGAGAGGGACACAACCTAGAACAGATAATGGATGTCTATTCTATTATATTACATTTCTATATCTGGAGAATGAGGCTGTTTGATGTGTTGCCTTCTCAATTCAGAGGGCCTCCTGCTCATCTTTGCCTAGGGCCTCAACTTTCTTAAATCCGCCCCTGCCCATATTCATTGTTATTTTCTTTTTGCAGTTATCTGGTCACCAACTTGATGGGTGCAGACCTCAACAACATCGTCAAGTTTCAGAAGCTGTCTGACGAGCATGTGCAGTTTTTAATTTACCAGCTGCTCCGTGGCCTTAAGGTAAATAATGAGCAGTAAGGTACAGTCTGAGCGGAGGTGTTAACGGAGAGGGTTTATGTCCGGTCCAGCTGCTCGGTGAGGCAGCTGGCCGATCCGACCTGCCCGGTTACCATGGAGAAGACAAAAGCAGCCTCCTTGTAAGGAGGAACTAATGTGGTGAACTGATCTCTGACCTCCGTCTCCTTTTTGTCCTCTCCTCCTCCCCCGCTCCCGCCTTGCCCTCCTGCCCCACCCCACCGCCGGCTGAACAGTACATCCATTCAGCAGGATTGATCCACAGAGTGAGTAACAACTTTCACATTCTTGCCTCTTTGGTGAGAAGCAGAAAAGATAAACGTCTAAAAGTAAAAACTTCTTCACACTCAGTGTATTTTCATAGGATTTTATAAAATACTGTGTATTTGTGAAGCCAAGGAGAAAAAGTAAAAAACTGACAACTGATTGGATATAGATCTTGACTTTAATTGGGGTATTTTGATTGAGTTCCAAACCTGTACTTCAGTTTAAAAGATGTCTCCGTATTTCTCTGTTCTGTTTCAATTCAGATGTTTAACCCGCATCCTTAATTCACGTCTGCATCAGTAAAAGAAAGGGTCTAAACTATGGAGGGAATTTTATTCCAAAAAACCTTCAAGTCTGAGTTTAATTTTATTGGCAGAAAAACCAAAAAAAATACATGAATAAACATATTTTATGTTCAAAGACATATTTCTATTTCTCTTATGTTTCTGTCTCTTGGTCAAAGGTTTGTTAATGTTTGGTGTTAAGGTAGGAATGTCAGGGTTGGGTTGAGGTTTTGAGGACCCAAATGCAGAGGTGAGTTGTTGTAGATTTAATTAAATAACTGAGGCAAAAAAAAACAAAAAACAAAGTAAAAAATACAAAGACCAGACATCTTCAGGGGAAAACTCACACAGGGAGCCAGGAAAAAACAAGGAACCAGCACTGAGGAACTGCACAGGGAGAATATATATGGGAGACTGAACAAAGAGAGGACTAACGAGCTGATTGGGAGCAGGTGTGAACAGAGGAGTCTAGAAGGAGCTATGGGAAAAGGAGACCAACACAAGAGGGCAACATAGGGCAATCAAGAAATACCTAAAAACTCAAATACATCCAGAAAACACCACAAAAGGGAATTAAACCAATAAAACTAGAAAACAAAGAAAAACATGGATCAAAGTGAAACTGAAAACTCCAAAGGAAACTTAAAAAGAACAAAAACCGTGACACAGAGTAATTATCTCATGTGAAACAGCCTGATTATTTTTAGTAATACATACAGGTTTCCATGGGTTACTTTATGACATTACATAGGTGGAAACAGATCTAATTGCCAATTACCGTATTTTCCAGAATATAAGCTGCTACTTTTTTCCCACGCTTTGAACCACGCGGCTTATAAGAAGGTGCGGCTTTTCTATGGATTTTTAATAACCGCCAGAGCGGGAAGTCAAAGTTAGAAAACAAAGAATAAGCAGGAACGACGGAGAATTCACAAATTTTGACGTTTATTTGACACATTAAAGCTGCCGAACCGAAGAAGAGACTGGACTCAACTCCTGCAAAGCAGAAATTAAGAGCCGATGGCAACTCCTATAGCGTTGAATTAAAGAGCCAACAAAGCCCCATTTTTCAGTAGAAGCTCTTACTGCTGCGAGCTAACAAGCTAACGGGAGCTAGCGTTTTTCTTCCTCCCTACTCCAGGGGCTTTATGTAGAGCTCCCCCTACAGGTTTGGAGGGAGACTGTTCAGTAGATATCAGCAGCTTATGGCCCGGCGCGGCTTATGGCCCGGCGCGGCTTATGGCCCGGCGCGGCTTATGGCCCGGCGCGGCTTATGGCCCGGCGCGGCTTATGGCCCGGCGCGGCTTATG